AATATAAATATAAATATAAATATAAATATAAATATAAATATAAATATAAATATAAATATAAATATAAATATAAATATAAATATAAATATAAATATAAATATAAATATAAATATAAATATAAATATAAATATAAATATAAAATATAAATATAAATATAAATATAAATATAAATATAAATATAAATATAAATATAAATATAAATATAAATATAAATATAATATAAATATAAATATAAATATAAATATAAATATAAATATAAATATAAATATAAATATAAATATAAATATAAATATAAATATAAATATAAATATAAATATAAATATAAATATAAATATAAATATAAATATAAATATAAATATAAATATAAATATAAATATAAATATAAATATAAATATAAATATAAATATAAATATAAATATAAATATAAATATAAATATAAATATAAATATAAATATAAATATAAATATAAATATAAATATAAATATAAATATAAATATAAATATAAATATAAATATAAATATAAATATAAATATAAATATAAATATAAATATAAATATAAATATAAATATAAATATAAATATAAATATAAATATAAATATAAATATAAATATAAATATAAATATAAATATAAATATAAATATAAATATAAATATAAATATAAATATAAATATAAATATAAATATAAATATAAATATAAATATAAATATAAATATAAATATAAATATAAATATAAATATAAATATAAATATAAATATAAATATAAATATAAATATAAATATAAATATAAATATAAATATAAATATAAATATAAATATAAATATAAATATAAATATAAATATAAATATAAATATAAATATAAATATAAATATAAATATAAATATAAATATAAATATAAATATAAATATAAATATAAATATAAATATAAATATAAATATAAATATAAATATAAATATAAATATAAATATAAATATAAATATAAATATAAATATAAATATAAATATAAATATATATATAAATATAAATATAAATATAAATATAAATATAAATATAAATATAAATATAAATATAAATATAAATATAAATATAAATATAAATATAAATATAAATATAAATATAAATATAAATATAAATATAAATATAAATATAAATATAAATATAAATATAAATATAAAGCGTATCAGAAATAGAAAGAGGATATCACAGCTTCTACATTTAATTTCCTAATAGCCTAAAAGCATCCCACAACACTGAATCAAATGAAAATTCATCCATATTTCACGGTTTCAATTCCAGTTAAATACTACGACGACAAAAGTTGATACAGTCCCCTTGAACCGTTTTGCACAACTTTGACGAGGGATTTTAAGATAATTCACACTCGAAATAATTTTCATTTTCGGTTTGCTGTAATTGAGAAGGGTTACTATTCGTAATTAGATCATAATCTTGATTTTCCAGTATTCCATGCTCGTCTTTTCTGTATTATGCCTGGAACGACAGTTTTTGCCGTACACCAACCAACCATTGTGCTTCGAAGATTAATTAATAGATTCTGTCTAAACAGACAAATATGTACTGGGGGATGAGTAGCATACGATACGTGTGCCGAGGGGGAAACGTTTTTAGAATTGTATACAAATTGGGGTCGAAGTTATTATACCATGCATAATAGTGGATATATTCAAGAATGGCTAAAGTTAACACGTTTTCATTATATTTTTTAGATATTAATAGTTATTTTTGTTATTTAGAATTAAAGGTTATTAGCGGGTTTTACAGATTTTACAGTAACAAAATATACTAATTATAAATTAAATTACAAATAATAAATTATATGTTACAAAATAATATATCGTCGGCTTACTGCCAAAACCAGATAAGTGCATTTTTTACCATGTTTGAGTTAAGTGCATATTAATGTACTGCGTAAAAAAGATAAGTAAGTGCCGGACAATGAAAAAGAGGTTTGGCAATTATTCATTTTGTTCAAAACTGCACAACTGATACAAAAAGAAAATTAATTCTTCTAGAAAACCCGGTTAGATGCCATTTAACTAATTTTTGCTGTTGAAGTATAGTAGATTTATATACCTATTGACTATGCGTAAAAAAGAAATAAGTGCAATTATCTTGTTTTGCAGTTTATTTTACCGTTACTTTAAAATGCCAAGCGTGCAAAACCAGATATGGTATGATGTCATTTAACTTTTTTACGAAATTATCTGACGAAAACTTGCACCGCCAAACTAAATTAAATCGACACTTATCTTGTTTTTGCTGCAATGTTATTTCATCGCAAAGGGGTATGTAAACATTGTAAACATAGCCCATAAAAAAGAACGTCGCCGAAAAAAGACGATTTGAGAGTGAAGCACCAAAGTGTATGGACTGTACAAAATGTAGATTCAATTGCAGTGCTACAATTTCAGAAGAAAGAAGAGTGGTATTATGCCAAAACTTCTGGGCCTTAGATTTTAATCGCCGAAAGGACTGCATTCTGAATAATGTAGATAGTCATAGACCAATAAGAATAAAAAGTAACCCGTCTATAAGTAACCCGTATTGATTCAAAATAATTTCAATTTCTTCTCCTTCTTCGTCTAGCCATTCACGTCCACATCTGAACATAAGCCTCTTCAAGTCTTCCTTTCCATTGTTTTTTATTGTAAGCTACTTGTAGCCAATTTTTCAGCTCGGCAGTCCTTTTCAGATCATCTGTCCATCTCGTAGGAGGTCTGCCTCTGGGTCTTTTGTGTTGGTATGGTCTCCAGGTTAAAATTGATCTGTGCCATTTGTTTAGATCGCTCCTAGCTACATGTCCAGCGTATTCCCATTTCAACTTTAATGATTTTTGCACCACATCGGTGACTTTGGTTTTCTGTCTTTTACGATAACAAAAGGGTAAAATGTGTTTGTTTTGTTGTCCTTAAGTGATATACCCAGCATTGCTCTTTCCATCGCGTGTTGAGTGACTCTAAGTATATTCATATTCCGTTTTGTCATTGTCCATGTTTGTGCCGCATAAGTTAATATCGGAATAATGCATACATCAAAAACTTTAGATCTAAGATGTACCTAATTGAATTTGTTGATTTCTGAGTATATAGTTCAGTGTACCGAATGCTGCCCAATCCAACTTTCTTCTTCTTTTTATTTCTTCAGTTTGAAATTTCAATTTAGATGATAAAAAATTACGAGTCTGCCGAGCTTTTTTTACAAAAAGTCTTTGCATTAGCAAAGAAGTAGTTGAGCTTGCGTTTTTCAATAAGGGTGAAGGTAAAATATTTACAAGATCCGATAAAAGAGGTAGAGGACCGCCGAAAAACAAAACAGTCATTGATGATATCTAAAGGGTAAAGCAACATATTGAAAGTTTTCCTGTACTGGAGTTCCACTATACGAGAAGTTCTACTAAACGAAAATATCTAGATTGTAAATTGTGTATAAATAAAATGTACTCAATGTATAAACAATTATGTAAAAATAATAGTACCTCACCTGTATCTTCAGTCACTTTTAGACGCATTTTTGTAATAATTACAACTATTCTTTCTCACTCCAAAGAAAGATCAATGCCAGCTCTGCACACAATACAAGACTAATGATGAAGAAAAGAAAAAGCAATTATAGACACAATATGAAGAACACGTAGCTCGAAAAGAGAATTGCTACACAGCAAAAGCAAGAGACAAAGCTAGAGCTATAATAGAGACCAATTTTGTATGTGCTACATTTGACTTGCAATGTGTGCTGCAAATACCGAGTAGCAACGTGAGTCCAATGCACTACAGTCGAAAAATTTGCACTTATAATTTGACAGTGTGTAACCTAGCAACACCAAATAATGCGTTTTGTTATAGCTGAAAAGAGCTTTATGGAAAAAGGGGTATCTTAGAAATTGGCACCTGCCTCTTTACTTATATTAATTATATTATATTATGTTATATTAATCTTCCCACTAGTGTAAATGCGTTATAAGTGTTTTCTGACACTTGCAGTGAACAAAGCAGGAACCAAAATGTTAGTGCTTTGTTACTCAATTTGGTTAAAAAAAATCCCAACTTGATGATTATATAGCAAAAGTTTCTGGAAAGTGGACACAGCTACATGGAAGTGGCTAGTATGCACAGTGCCATTGAATGAGCCCAGAAGTATGTTTCTGTGTATACAATGCATGGTTGGCTAACAATATTTCGCATGGCCAAAATAACATCATCAAAAAAGAAACCGTTTGTTCTGCAGGAACTCAATCATAAAGATTTTCTTTATAAGCTTATTAAAAATAAAACGAGAGACATGAAAAACGAAAAGGTAAACTGGTTAAAATAGTGCCTATCCTCTGTAGATAGTTATTCTAAATAGATGTTGACAGCTGCTCTAAATAGATGCATGGTAGTCATCATGGCCTTGTAAAATTAGTTGATTTAGTTGATACCTACTTATCATTTCGCATCACATGCCCTAAGATGTCATCTTTCTGATTTTCACCATACGCATAATTTTCAGATCTTTATTCATACGTTGGATGACGGTGTTGTTTGTAATATGATGGATATAGGAAATTCTGAGCATGCAGCAGTAGCACTACATTCGAATTCTTATAATCGTTTGGATCCAGGCTTTGACTCCATATAAAAGGGTAGAAAACACATAGCATCTCAAGACTCTTGTTCTTATATTAATATTCAGGTGCATATAACATAAAATCTTCCTGAGCCGATCGAACACAACTCTCGCCTTTTATTTTCTAGATACTAGATACAATTGTTAATATTATATTATAGTGTAAATGCAACTGCTAATGTTAACTATATCTTCTAAAGGAATAGCAATATTAATTACTTTATCAAAAAATTTAAAAACATTTTATTAAAAATTAAAATTTTCAATTTTCTAAAGTGAACCATTAGCCTGTGGGTGTACTTAATTAAAAATACCTCCCTCGCATTTCATTCTTTTATTCTGCAACTTCACGTAATGAAAAATATTTTATTATATACCTGTAAACAAAGTAGTAGCTAAAGGCCCTAGAGCGTATACTGGAACGTCTTCTCCGCCGTGTGTCGCCCATTGTCTTGGAACAGCAGATCCGTGAACTTGATTCCTGTCTTCTGCTGCTGAAGACGTATTCATCGGAACTATCCTGGGAGTTGCGAAGCCAGGACCGTTTCCGTATAGAATCGTTGTATATGGTTGTCCATCCACATCTGAGACTTTACTGTCAGGGCCTAAAATAAAAAAAGATTTTATAATTTTAGAGATTTAGTACATTATTATGTAAATTAATCATTTTTTAAATTAGTTCTGGAAGAAATATTACAGCGTAAGTTAAATAACATTAGAGTAGAGTAGAGTATTTCTTTAACTACATAGCAAACACAAATATTGTTTGTAGCAAGTCAAAGTAAATACTTATTATATAAAAAAAAAAAATAAAAAACGTAACTTAAATATATCACAAACAAAAACACATATTAAACAGAAAAATATTTATGGCAAAGTTACGGTAAGCAGTTCAGTGGATGTTCTGCAATGAGTCAGTGAATTTCAGTCTGAGGACTCTTGGCTTTTATTTTGCTCACCTTTTTCATTTTTCAGTTTGCGTAGCTCGAGAAAACCAAAAATTAAAAGGATTGCTACCAGGATATATATCGGTGGTGCCCATATGTAGCTGTGGTCTATTTCTGTTGGTAGGACGGATTGGAACCTTTCTTCTTCCTGTGATGATTTGTGTAGTTCGTCTAAAGGAATTTTGTCCAATTTTAGGGCTTTGACTATTGGGTGGTTCTTTGAAATGGTGATGGTCTTTACTTTTGGTAATGTTAGTAGTTCTTCTTCAATTGTTGTTTTGGAATTCGTGTAAACTTCATAATTGGTTCGTAGTTCACATCCTGGCGGTAACTCAATTAGATAGGTCCCTTCGAGTACTTCTATTTCGGTGGTGGTGCAATGGGTAGATACTTTCATAGCCTTTGGAAAAACAGCGATGTAGTGTGCATCTGATACTTTTTGGATGATCGTTGTAGTGACAGTGACAGGATTACTTTGACATTAGGCAGCATCGTTAATTAACTAAAGAATTTGGATGATGCAGTCATTAGTCTGGTCATTCTCTTGTGGAAATTTCTCAAAACAGACAAATAATTTGGATCCGCTTATTTTGCATGGTAAATCCATATATTGAAAAAGGTCTGAGTTGTGGACTAGGTGTAAACCAGGTAGAATTATTATTGTGTGATTATTATTTGGGAATGAGTATAAATGGAAGTAAGTAAGCGACTTGACATGAAGGATAGAAAAATACAAAATGAAAACAAGGGTGCGGTTCCTGTAACCATTAATGTCTATATTATCATAGTATTTGGTTAAGTTTTCTTCTTAAGGGAATCTGTAATGCAGGGTGGTGTTCAAGCATCTTTTGCACGGTCCATTTTATTTCTTCAGGTTTGATGACGCCGTTGTGTAAACTTTTGATTCTTGCAAATGTAATTGTTTTGTGTAGATCATCCAGTGTTTGTATAATTATTTGTAACTTTAGATCTATCTAGTCAAGGATATTTCGAATTTGCATATAGTCATTAAAATCGAAAACGAATTGGTTTATTTCCAAGTTAATTTTGTTTGTCTCTTCAGCTATGACTTCTTGATTGTATGTAAGTAATAAAATTGTTTGGTTAAAATTTGTCATTATTCTCTTATTAAGACTGGGTTGGATATTGATGTTGGTAATTATATTCTGTTAAATATTTTCAAGTGATTTAATGGTGGCGTTGTATCTTTCTGCATCTTCTTGATCTAGATTACCAGCAATATATTTTACTACACTTTCCAATCCGTTTATAAGTCCTCTTTTGCTTCTGGATATTGGATATGTTGTGTCTAGTTTCTATTTTCCTGTTTAGAGAAGGTACTGTAGAGTTTTATCAAATTTTTGTAGGCTGTCAAAATAGGGTTGACTAAGTCCATTTTCTATTGCTCTGTTGGTAGTGATACATTGAGATTCTATGGATTCAATCTCTTCAATCTGCGATATGTTCTAGATGGAAATAGTGGATAAAGTCATAAGTGCTGGTATGTATCCTCGCTTGTCCAAGTTTAACTGGGAGGATTCCTAAATTGTTATTAAGGTTTTGATTTTTAAAGTAAGGAAGTTTTTTTTTGTAAGCCTAGGAGTGCAATTCTATTACGTTGGTTCTTTTTCTTATGGAAACGTGTAAAAATTCACATCTTCCTCAGATTCTTGGCTTTCTTGTTAATAATAAGGGTAATTTGGGTATGTGTCATTGTTTATACCTCAATCGTAATTATTTTCCTGATGGTGTTCGATATTAAAGAGTTCCTCTACCGAAAATCGAGGACTAGCTGTTTGTTGAAAGCAGAAGTTTCTTTGAGATTGGGGTCTATTAAAGCCAGTTTGGCATGTAGATACGCTCATAGGTGTTGGCTTATATAATTGAGATGGAACTGGTTTATGAAAATTGGGTTTGTTAGCCCTAAAATTTTGTGCATATGGAGTGATACGATGATTTTGTTGGAATCTAGGGGGTTGAAATGTCCCTCTTGGATTATTGTTGAATGGGTGTTGTTGAAAAGGCATTGAATTTGGCCGAAAGAATGGCTGTGGCCATTGAGGCTTGGGTACCTCAGGCTGCCATCTGTAGGAGCGTGTGTATGAGTTAAATTGCGTCTCTGTGTTTGTGAAGTCGTAGATGGTTTATTAGAAGAAGATAGGGAATAATTATGAGTTTTTTTGACGATAGGTGTCTAATATTATTCTTTTCTTGAATATATTGGATAACAAGAGCGAGATTTGGTGGTTTAATGGATTGAATTCTTGATCCAAGGGTATCCAAGGGCCTGCCAAAACTGTGGTCAAAGCTTGTTGTTGAAAATATTCTTTTTTACTTGTTTTAACTTTCTTGTTTTATTTGTGTAATTCAATATGAATTGAAATACATAATATTTTCAAGACTCATAACTTTTTCATGAAGTTGGTGAGGGTTTTCGTTTAGAGCTTGATGAAGATTGACTCAATCTCTAGTTAATGAGTTTTCGTTACACTGGTGTGCAACATTTTGGACAAGAATTGATTTTAGTGATGGCCAGTCTTTACAGTAGTATATAGAAATAATTTCTCTGACACTTCCTTTAATTTTGTTCATTATTACTCGGGTAAGCATGTGATTTTAAAATTTTTTAGAATTTGTATGATCTCAGGAATTGTTTATAAGCATGGAAATAACATCAATAAAATTGTGGAGTTCATTTGGATTGCCGTCGTACTCTGGTATGATAGAAAGGTTTTTATTAACATCAAAAATGGGTGCCATATTAGAATTATTTAAAATGGATGCTGGTGTAATAATTATAAAAGGTATTTTAAACGAGTTTTTGAACATATACGGAAAAAGATGATTATTGTCAACTAAATGTAAATCTAGTTTAATATTTTCACTAGATTCTTTAGATTAAAAAATTGTTGAAAGAAAATCGCTTATTCATAAGGATGATACTTATAAAATGGTGATACTTTTGGTACAAGTTTTATTTCAGCTTTCTTCATAAATATGTTTCTGTGCAAATTTTCCTGAAATCAGTGGGTTAAACAGCTGCAGTTTTCTCTGAATTTGGGATCGGTAGCGGGTAAACATTTAAAAATGACGAAGATCTCTTGGAGACTCTTCCACTAATCCTACTGAATACGCCACTTAAGGTTTGTTACTCCCGAAGGTACATTTTAAAAAGATCCTTTTAAAGGTACAACTAACAGAGTATTAGCACTTTATTTAATACAACTACAACTGACTTTAAAATAAAAATTTAAAGTATCTATGAAATAGATTTCATAGATACTTTCACAGATTCCATATATCCAGAAAAAGTTGAGAAAAGAAAATACCAGGATACATAAATTTGTACAACAATCGAGGTACATTCAACACATTCGAGTCGAAGTAAGTGTGGAAAAAGTACGGTTACAAGAATTTTAAATATAAGAAAACGCAGCAGTTTTATCCCGACGATAAATTGTATAGTTAGTAAAGTATACCTCGATTTGTTACAGATTCGTATTTTTCCCGTTATTCTCAATCTTCCTTATGTCAATCCTTAAACAATACTTTTCCTAATTGAGTTATTAGTGGAACACGCAATATAAAGTGGCATGCGCGATCTCCAGATCTTACTCCCATGGACTTCTTTTGTTTTGGGATATTTAAAAAGCATCATATACGATCATTTTGAGGCAAGAGCAAAGAGAAGTCTATATCTGTCGGCAGAATTTTTTATGACACATTCGGATACTGTTTAGCCGTAGGAGGTCATAAATTGGTATAATTTGCTTTTTGCTGACGGAGTTGCTTAATGTATTGGCAATATCTAATGAAAAACTTTACGTACTGTATTAGTGACATTAACTGATAATCGTTATTAGCAACTTGTTACATTTTTCCGGAAATCGCCAGGAAATTTTGACATTCCTGTCAAAATTTCTTGAAGAAAAACTCAGGACTTTCTTACTGTAAGGAACTGTCATTTCCTTACTGTAAGGAAATGATAGTTCCGTACAGTTGTTAGTGTTCTACATAAATGATGACAAGTTTGACAATTCAACCTCAATACGTTTCCATAGTAACCCAAGTAATTTTATTAGGAATTTCAAAGCACCATTTATTTGGGAATAAAATTATCGCGTTTTTTTTAAATCAATCAATACCTGTCGAATTTTAAACGATTTGCGGAAAAAATAGTATGTTTACCTCGTAGGAGAAGCCACATTCCTGGACTCTGTGTTGCTAAGTCTCGGCTTGCGCCTCGACTTAGCAATCCTCACAGTCGTCCAGGAATGTTAAGTTTTTCCTACCCGGTAAACAATGTACTTCTTCTTCTTCTTCTTCGTCTAGCCATTCACGTCCACATCTGAACATAAGCCTCTTCAAGTCTTCCTTTCCATTGTTTTTTATTTTTATTTTATAACAATGTACTATTTCTTAATTAATTGCTCAAAAGACCAACTGTTCTGCTACAGTAAATAATATAAATAAATTGTTATGGCTACTTCATATAATAATTTTAGATAAGAAAATATTTAAAAATCTTTCCAGTATATTTTGATATATTTTAACCCTCAGGCTCTCGCTCCGACATCTTTTGTCTTAGGTTAAAATTTTTGTAGACGTTAAAAGCTAATGGAAAAGCCGTTTATTAAATCATATCCCAGGGGCAAAAGAATCAATTTTCCCTTAATAACGTATTCATATTTTCCTATTCTGAAATAACACCCAAGCGCCTTGTCCTTGCTTAGGGCATGGCTATGAAAAAACGATTTTCTTGTACAGCTTTTTAGGGCTTGTTTACATACCCACGGGATATCTAAACTATAAAGATGGTAGCTTGAATTTTACTACATTTTTATGCGGAAAACGGAAAAAATAGGGTTAAAGTGATTCGGTTTTATTTGAGTAGGAGTATTTTTTTATCTTAAAATGGTTCAACAAAAAGAAATATAAATATTTGATAAAAATTAAATTTATTCTTGTAAATGGACTTGTATAAAACTATAACTAACTAAAAGTAAAGAAGTCAAAAGAAGGTTTAAGTAAAAAAATATAAACTTTAAATACACTTTACTTCCACGCAATAAAAAAGTCGTCCAACAATAATGTTATACATTACTTCTTTTCTTCATACACATAATAATCGGTAGCCCATACCAAATATTTGAGCGTTTGTCACACACTTTCACCGCTGCCAATCTGCAGTCTGGATCATGATCTGGAAGGACACTCCTTCATCGTCGGTTTTCCTCTATCTTTGCTGTTTAAAACTTTTTGTAACTTATTTGGAGATATATAGAAAGAATCTATGGAATTATAGATTCTTTTTTCAGATTGTTTACAATGCCAAAAGTCAAAAGAAATACTAATTATCTGAGAAGATATACCAAAGAAATCCTCCAGAGTGCTTTA